TTTCTTCGAACTTGTTCTTCTTTTTTTTTTTTTTTGGGGGGGATTATGTGTATAATTATTAGGTACGTTTCAGGCGGGACGCGTAGAATTATTTATCTTTATCTTTTGGATTTTATTCTTTTGAATTTTTTTTTTTGAGGAGGGGATTGCGAAGGGAGGTGTATATTATTCAGTTGGAGATGGATTAGTTTTTTATGAGTATGAAAGTTTTTTGTAGAAATGTGAACGTTTGGATGAATTTTAGAGAGAAAAAGTGTATATACATCAACATTTTTTATCGTGGATTTAAAATAATAGAATTTTGAATATAGAAACAATGAGTGTAATCTGAATAGTGAGTGAGTATTAAGATCTTTTCTCATAAGTAAATTGTGGAAATTTGAAATTTGAGAAATGATTTTTGCTAATTGAATTAGCTCGGAAATAATTCATCTAATTTTTGAAATTTACAACGATTAAGTTTCCTGGGAATCAGAATTTTGCACTAATTTTCTAATCTCTCTGATAAATTGCGGTAATATTTGATAATTGACGAATTATCCTTTCATTTTATTTAATTCGGCGATCGTTTATATACTCGGATCAAACAAAATCTTCCGGGTTGCCAATGTTATCGATTTTAAGAATAGAACACACGATCGCCGCAAGACGATATCTCGCAATCACGTTCCTTTAATTATAAATCTCAATTCATCAAATCGCCGACGTTATCGTTATTATCGAGACAACATGGAACATTGATTCCCTCGAACATATTGACGTTATTGACATTGTTGGCACTGCATCGATATTATCGTTGATTCATTAGGGACGTCGTATCAATACTGAAAATGACGATACATTGTATCGTGTAATAACGCACAATGAAGTTAATACATTTATAAACCGCACATTTAACTCATTGTCGATGACTATTATAATATATTTATATACCTTGGCTTTGATTTTTAAGGGAAAAAAGGAAAGCTAAAATATTAATCCTTTGATTAGAATTAGAAAATGTTTATTTCTTTATCATCAAAATGAATGAAAATTCATTCATCCGCATATTATATTCAATATATATACATATCGAATCTTAAATTATTCAAATTATTAAGTAGAATTTATTCGATAAATCCTTTCTTCAAACAAATTCGAAACCAGTTCTACGAATAAATACATCACAGATCAGGCGTGAATCTACATTTAAATCCAGTATTGGATTCATACACACATTGGATTTAAAATGTAATGTTACGTATATAAATACACATATAAATCAAAGTGTGAATCTGCACATGATTCTATGATGTATATATATATATATATATGTAATATTTATTCTAGATCGTAGTTATAAATTCGTAGATAAATTCATCCATAGATAAATAAATGTATATACTACTATCTGTATATGTAAATACACGGATCCGATCCACCCGTGGATATAGATGTTCCATCACTGGCAAACCGAAGGATAGACATTGATTAGTTGGGCCAAAACCGACCCAACCAGTCGACCATCCTAAGGATATTGGGCTATCTCGAGCCCATAAATTCACAACGAATCCGTAAAAGTTTGTAGTGAATTCTTGATCAACTGCGAATCTGATATACAAAAGCAAGTAACTTTTATTTCCAGGACATTTTATAGACTTGGTAAAATGTTGGATGTTGTCGAGTAAATCTGAAGGAATCTGATCCATAAGAAACTCGAGAAATTTAAAATTTGTTACATTGCATAATTTGTCGTAACAATTAATTCGAAATCAAGGGTAGATCTTTAAATTAATATATCAATTTGTGAAGAAATTAATTAATCCTTCAAAATAGAGGTATTAAAAAGGAATATTTAAAAATGTGATTATGAATATATTCAGTTGAGATAACATAAATTCATAACAGATTATATCAAACCCCCAAAGAAAGAAATTAATTCACAACTCGGTAAGAAGAAGGCTTTGAAATATTATTTACGTTGAATACAAAATACAATTTTCATAAAATTACACAAAGGATAGGTCAAAAACCACAAATCCACAAGTATATATACCCTTAAACTATATCATGCTTCACGAATCACACGAAAATACTTTTCCATGTAATTTTAAATTCAACGAAAAAAAAAAAAAGAAAAGAATACACGATTCCATTTTACACAAAAGGATAGATCGATGATTGAAATCGACATACTGGCCACAAACAAAGATAGAAAACCACAGACCCAAGATAATCGTTATTTCGTAGATCCTTGAGCCCAGTCAGTGGAATGTGTCTCGTGCGTGGCCGAAATCTAATAACACGCATTAATCAAATTCTGGGGTAGCGGTGTAACGCGGTGGGCCTCGTTGTTATCGGCGATTGTGATCGGACACACGCGCTCTAAATCACCTCGAGTCTGGCAACAATTCAAGACGTTGTCGCGCCGAATATTTCAGCGTAGAAACATTGCGCTGCGCCATTGAAATAGCACTTGCGCCCAATCGATTTTCCTTCTCTTCCTTTTTCCTCTTTTTCCCATTTCCCCCCCCTGATTTTTCGTCTATTTATCGTGTTGCTCTTCGTATCGTCCTTATTTTCTCTCTTTCTTCTTTTTTTCTCTATTCTTTTCTAATTCGTCGCTCTTCGATTTTTATTCCCTTCGCTTTCCTCTTGTTTCGTTCCGTTTCTTTCCTTTCATTTTTACATATCCCTTCCTTTCTTCCTTATTTTCTCTCTTCCTTCTTTTTTCTCATTTCTTTCCAATTTTTCGTGTTGCTCTTTGATTTTTATTCTCTTCGCTTTCTTCGTTCCATTTCTTGTTTCCTTCTTTTCCTCTCCTTTTTATCTTCTTTTCCCTTCTCATCCTATTTCTTCCTTCTCTTCTCCCAATATTCCCCCCAACTTCTTATCGTAATATCTTCCCCATTTTCTTTTCCACAATCCATATTGTAACACATACAGTTCAGTTTGAAACTGAAGAGATGCAATCAATATCCTGATTATCAACACCCGGAAGTCGCTTCTTCCTCGCTCGTGTCGCAATCAGCGAGTCCCACCAGCGTCCGTTCAATCATTTTGATTGGAATCATGTCACGGATAATGTTTCTCGACGTGTCTCTCACTCGCTCATTGTCTCTTTTCCTTGTGAAATTTGCAGAACAACGAGCACGGAGGGGAAGGGGAGGAAAGAAGGCAGAACGATAGAAGTCCGAGATTGGCGGGGACACCCACGGCGCCCTATTCTTCCTTGGAGAAGGGAGGAGCAGTCTCGCCTGTTAGGTCCATCACGCCGGAAGTAATACAGGTGGGTCGTTTCTTTTCCGTCCTTCATTTCACCGTTCGTCAACTCAATCGAACAACTCACACGCATACGCACACGCACAGTTTATAACGCTATTTCTGAGATCTCGCCTTTCGATTTTTCGCTTTCGGTTGAGTCAAGAATAGGAAAGGAACTTATTTATTTATTTATTATTATTTTTTTCGGTAAATATAATCGCGAAGTGGAAGTTTTCATCGAATATTTCGTAGCTCGACGCTCGGAGGATCGAAGAATTGGAGAACTTTTTTTTGTTAAGATCTTTGATGGAATTTTTGGTGTAGAAGAAGAAGAAGAAGAAGAAGCGACGAAAGTTTCCAAGTGATATTTTGCGGGTTGGAAAATTAAGAAATTGGAAATTTTATGCCGCGAGAAGAATGAAGTGAAGAAAGTTTCCGAACGATTTATTCTCCAAGTAAGTTATTATTTAGAAAAAAAAAAAAAAAGGAAAATAGGAGTTCGAGGAAAAATTAAGGATTCTGAAGTAATATTTCATAAGGGGAAAAGTAAGTTGAAAAAATAAGAAGTGTTTATTTTAAGATGGAATTATAAAAAGAAAAATAAAATGACAAACGTTTGAAAGTGTTTGTATAACGATGTTGGTTGAAAAGAATAATGGTTTGTTTCATGGTAATGGTAATTTTGCATCTTGTATCATGACGTTTTTTTTTCTTTTTGTTCCGTTCGATACTTTTCAGCATTTTAAGCGTTGGAAAAAATTCGTGATTTCTCTTCTCTATTTGTTAAGTTAGAAGAGAAGAGAAAACGAATAAATTCATTTGAAAGAACGTTCAATCAAACAGCCTCATTCTTAAACCCAATTCGATCTAATTAGATCGACCTTAACAATTAGCTAATGGCTCTTCCGATCGTAACAGTTATTACGTATTAACCCTTTCGTTATTGCATAGTTAACTACCATTACATATTTACAAGAGTACATTGTTTTAATCAAAGCTTTAAATTTATTACTGTCGATTTTCAAATTAAAATTATTAAATTAAAGTAAAATTAAATTAAAGAACAGACGAACGAATTATTTGTAATTAAGCATTCATAAAAGATAATTTATCAGTCGCTTTATTATCCACTATTTGTTATAAATTTAATTTGTATTTAAATGAAAAGTAAAATTGTCACTACGTTCATCATTTTTTGGAACCGATATATCCACAACAGGATATATTACAGGAAGATAATATACTGGAAGACTAACTAATGGAAAGCAATCTCCATTCGTACACAGGATACATTGATTAATGCAATAGTTACTCGAGCAAAGACAGATTTACACGAGATCATTATAATGGACATTCATGCACATAGAGAAGTTTGCAGGAACTAATTAAACAGAGCCTGGAATATTACTATAGCGACTACTACGTACATGGAGATTAGTCTACGAAAAGTCACAATAGAGATCGTTATTCACGAGTTAAAAAATATTATTCCAAATTGCTTCGAATGCAAAGAAAAATTTGTACGTAAAAAAACAAATGTGGAGAAACGTATCTTGCTAACAGCTATAAAAACAAATCTACGGAAACTATTATGCAAATATATAAAAATGTAATGCAAGATTATAAGAAAGAGTATGTATTATATTCATATATAAACGTAATTTTGTTATTTACCTCTTTATTCAAATATAATAGAAAATTAGAATAAAAATTATAATAAGAAATATAGTTAGATAATATTCATCCGTACACAAAACGAATTTACGGGAATATTATACTACTATGATATCTATTTCTGAAGAAAATTGTAATAGTTCATATATATTTAAACATAGAAAAGAAAACTGTAGATTATTAATAATTCACATATAACTTCAAAAATCTGAAGCTTATAGAATATACGTAATTATCCATAAAAGGAAATTTCCAAACGACGACCAGTGACAATTTTCATTCACAGATATTGGTACATAGAAATCTACAAAATGATCATCACTGTGATACGAAAAGAATTGAAAAAAAAAAAAAAAAAAAAAAAGAAAAGCTCGATGGTCTTATCGAAGCGTAAGAAGAAAAAGATTGGATTGCGCTCGATGTAAATTAAATCAGTGAACGGGATCGATTGTGTGATAACTTGAGACGATGAGGGGGCGTGTGAAAACGAGAGAAAATCCATCGTCAATCTATTTCGCGATGCGTCCTATTCGAAATATTACGATCGAACGCGCGTGTACTCGGGATACCAATTTTAGACAATCTCTCTCTCTCCATCTACCGCGACGTTGTTTGATCGTTTCTTGGAATTAATATACAGTCTGCAACAAAAGTGTTAACGACTAACGATTCGTCTTATTGGAATCGTCGAAAATTGTGCTCTTGTGTGAACGTGTGCGTACGTAAAACACGTGTGAATTGCGTGTGAACAATTTTCGTTTCGAAATATTCGAATAAGTCTTGGAATTAAGTCTTGAAATTAATGTACAGTCTGTAACAAAAGTGTTCGACTAACGATTTATTGAAATCATCGAAAATTGTGTTCTCAATGAATATAAAATATAATCGTGTGTGAACAATTTTCTTTTACTCGAAATGTTCGAAGAAGTGGAATTAAATCTTGAAATTAATATACAGTCTGTAACAAAAGTGCTCGACTAACGATTTATCTTATTGAAATCGTCGAAAATTTGATTCTCAATGAAAGTGTGTGCACATAGAGTGTAGTGAATTGTGCGTGAACAATTTTCTTTTATTCGAAATGTTCGAAGAAGTGGAATTAAGTTTTCGAATTATGGAATACAGTCAATCGCAAAAGTTTCCGTACTCGATTAACAACTCGTGTTATTAAAAATGTTTCTCATAATTTCACAATAATCGTAATCGTTTCAATGGAACTTTGAAGTGGAATTAAGTTTTGAAATTAATATACAGTCAGCCGTAAAAGTTTTCGTATTCTAACAATTTCTTAGAATTGTCAAATTTATGTTTTTACTGAAACTTATTTACTCGCGTATATATAGAAATTACAAATTTTCATAATTTTTATAATTAACATTCGTGTATTGTGATAAAAAATACTTCAAAAAGAGATTCCATTCGACGTGATTTAAAATTTTCAAATTGGATGAATTTCTTATCAAGATTAAGAATTAAGAATAACTTTTTGCAACTGACTGTATAAATACAATGTATTCTCGTTTAGTGGTTCCATTGATGGAACGGTATTTATAATTGAACGAAATTGATAGCGAATTCTAAGTTTGTTCTGGTTTGCCAGTATAGCGTTTTAGATCGTGGCGAGTTTGAAACGATCGTTTCGCGTATCCCCGAAAGTTTATAATTTCGGATTGCGGTTTGTTTGAAGAGCAACGATGATCGAAACCGTGAATTTTCCAATATGTTCATGAGAATTTCCAAATTGTTTCAACGGAATTGTTTCGTTCTGATAAGAAAAAAAAAAAAAAAATCATTTTTTTCAATCTTCGCCGATTTTTCGATATTATTCGAATCAAATTTATAAATTTGTTTCATTCGAAAGTGGCAGAATTTTTCAAATTCGATAGATTATAAACGAAAATTCTACTCTTTCGCTGTTCAATTTTATTGCTTTTTTTTTTTTTAATTGTTTTTGGTAATAGGGGAGGAGGGAATATATTTTTCTTCTTGGCAATTTGCGTTTCTATTTGTTTTGCAGGCAGGAATCGAAGACGGGGAAAGGCAAAGTAGCTCAAGATCAGATTTCAAAAGACAGAGTACAAAAGCTTCAGATGGCGCGGGATCCAGCACGCGAAGGTACTTCAACAATTTAAAAGCTTCGTCAACTTGTTTCTTCGTCTCACCTCCTATTTACCTAAAATTTCTCAAAGATCCTCGGCAAACTTTCCTTCCATTTAACTCATCGCTCTGACATTTATAAAATATTTTCTTTCAATTTTTGCACATATTTTCTTTTTTTTAATACTCGCAAAACACAAACGTTCGAAACTCGTGGTATCAAAAATACTTTCAAAATTTTTTCGTCCCTACTTTTTCCTCTTTCTCGATCAACCTCGAACGATTTCAACAAGATTAACACGCCATCATCGTTTGATTTATAATATTTAATTTCACACCGCGTTACAAATATTACGCACGAGCGAGGCAGATTACGGCTTTGTTTATTAATAATACAAACGTCGTGTAGTTCGATGAATTACAGGTAACGTTCACCTGTAAACACAGAAATGTAAACTTTTCGTTTCGTTTCGTACGGCATTCGTACGAGCGACACCGTGCCGCCGCGTAGTATTTCGTCCGTCGTGTTCCACGAATATCTCGTTTCTCTAAGAAAAGATCCTTTTCTTCTTTTCTTTTTTAAATAAAAAAACTTCTCGAGCGAAACAACGATTCGTTAAAAAAGAAAAAAATCTTAGATCCTCCATGAAAAAGTCTGTGCGCAAGAAGGCGCCATCACCGCCTTCAAATCCAGGAATATTGCGAGAGGTGAGCGAGGAGAAAGAGGATAATGCGTCGAAACCGGAAAATCCCCCAAGACGGAAGTATTCCTCGGACGAGAGCTCCGAGGAGGAGGATGTGCGCGAGCTCGAGGGTAACGTTTACACGAAGGCTGGCATGGAGGTAAAGGAAAAATTGGAAGAATTTTTTCACTTTTGATTTTATTACTCACCAGATAAAAATCATTTGGGATTAATAATTATCGCAGATTTCGAGGAAAAGCGCCGGAAATGTGAAACGCAGCAGAGCGGAAATTGAGGCGGATCCGGAGAAGGAGGACGAGTTCGGTTACACGAATAGTACGTAATTTATAAATAACAATAAGTTGGAATTGCGTTGATTTTTTTTTCTCTCTCTTTATTCTTATTTTTTCCCCCCTCCCCTTTCTTTTTCTCTCACTTTTCTTATCTCCTTTCTCCCCCGATCTTTTTTCTTCGCGTCGATTACACGACGTTACTTTTATTACAGTGAAGATACAGAAGAAATACCATTCGCTGGGGCACAAGGTGATACTGGTGCAAGTGGAGAAAGACAGGCGTGGTCTCGGCATTTCATTGGCCGGGCACAAGGATCGAAATCGGATGGCAGTGTTCGTTTGTGGCCTTAATCCAAAAGGGGCAGCTCACAAAACTGGCGAGATTTCGGTCGGCGACGAGATACTTGAGGTAAATTTTTCTATTTTTTTTTCTTTACACTTATCCGTTTCTGTAAGCTTTATCTTTAAATTTTTTTGCCTTTTTATAATATCAAAATGTTGCTTTTAAAATAAAAGTAATATTTAAATTCATGTTTTTTAAACGTTTTAGTATTAAATGTCGAGATATTCGTATTCGTATTTTTACGAAAATTATTACTCTCCAATATACGATATTAATTATTTTGTTAATTTTAAATTAGCAATTCTGAACGATTCGATTAATTTGAATAACGTGAAAAAAAAAAAAGGAAATTTCTCGGAATCAATTCGTTAAATCAATGTCTGTTTTTCATTTGAAATGGAAAAAAGAAAAAAAGAAACAAACGAAAAATAAAAATATATTCTTCGAGATTATTTTTATTATATCTTTCTCGATGCATATAAATGTTAATAAAAGAACGAAAAAGAAATTTGACTATTTTTAAAATTTTTTTACAATCTAATAATTAAACGATCTCTAATTTTATTGATTTTTAACATTTGTAATTGTCTAAAAATCTAATAGATCATTCCACTTGATATTATATTTTTCACTTACAACGAGACTCAACAATTGCTGCCAAGTATATCGATATTTCTCAACATTCTCAAAAAATATCCTCACCACTAAACCAGTCAATGAAAACTCACAATTGGATCAAGATCAGTTGGCATCAGTTGTTAATGGCCCAACAAGTGTTCCTTTTAGGAATTTCCGCTTGTCATCGTCGAACGTATACAAGCGGTGCCGCGTTTGAAATTGATAAATCGTGGAAAGACAAGTTTAAAGCGAATTTTTAGTCGGCACACGTGTATCTGGCAAACGTTCAAACTCGATTATCTCAAAAACGAGAAACCTGAAAACCTAGTTTTGCGAGAGTGAATCACCTTGCTCGCCATTCTGTCTTGGGAGAATACTATCTTGATCCATGCATGATCCACAATTTTTTTCGAACATTTTAATCAGTAACAAATAAAGAATAAAAACGATTTATTTTTGTTGGGTCTTTCTTAGAAAGAAAAATTAGAAAGAAAAATGTACATTCTGATTAATAAACAAGGAAGTAAATATTAATAAAAATATCTGTTCCCGCTGTGTAATAATTGATTTTAAATTTTAATGCGCGTACAAAAAAAGAATTTAAGAATTTTAATTTATCAACAAGGAATTTTTCTTTCTTTTTTTTTTTTTTTTTTTACGTCTTTTCTTCGAATCGTAATTGAATTATATTTCCAGGTAAATGGCTGTGTTCTGCAAGGGCGATGCCATTTGAACGCATCTGCCTTAATTAAAGGAATGGCTGGCACGTGTTTCAAAATCATCGTTTTACGGTAATTATGCACACATACGCGTTTCTTTGTATTTTGCGCGTTTTCATTTTAGAAGAAGAAGAAGAAAAAAATAAATAAATGAAAGTATGGAATGAAATTCTAATCCTCTCTTACAATACTCATTTCTACTTTCTAAATTTCAACGTATGCTTAATAATTATTAATCCTCACTTTTACCTGTTCCTACAAGAAAATTTATTTAGTGACAATTGCGAGTTTATTATTCAATTTATCGATTAATCGTGCGATTCGGTTCAACAGGAGATCCGCTGCCCTTAACGACATCGCTGTCAAGCCCATCGTTCAATTCCCTCCGACATTAGACGATGTAAGTTCAATATTTCACAAATGTGATGCAATGATAAACATTCCATCAAATTTGTCCAACTGTCGAGAAACTTCTTTTCTCAAAAAGAAAAAAAAATTGTAAATTATTAAATCTCGAATTTTTTTTTTTTGTTAAAATATAATCAAAATATTTTTCTCTACATAATAACGATAATTATTATTATTTTTTTGCAAAATTATTTAGAATACACCATATTCTATTCTATTCTCTTTCTCGCACTGTACTCATTCTATTTTCACCTCTCTTTACCTAATGCAAATTTAAATTCATAATTCAATAAAGCTCAACCGATATTTCTGTCTCACCAACTTTTGCGTTTATTTTGGCCACTAAAATCAATCCCACCAAGAATGTATCACGAATACATTATTACTCCGAGTATATCCGATATTAAAATTTCAAAATTCCTTTCTCAACGACAACAAAATAAAATATATCATCTACTATTCCATTATTATTATTATTTTGCAGTCTGACATGTTCAACCAGTACAAAGGAGTTCGCAATATACCGGTGAAGAAGGTAATAATTTAATTTACGGAGAATTAAATTTAAAAAAAAATAAAAAAGAAAAGAGAACAATTTTGATCGTATTTTTCCAACACAAAGGGCCAATACGGACTTGGAATAATGATCATCGAGGGAAAACACGCGGAAGTCGGTCAGGGTATATTCATTTCAGACATTCAGGAAGGCAGTGCTGCAGAGCAGGTAACACACAGTCTTGCTCCCCATTTTCCATCCTTTTCGAACGATCGTTTCCATTCATCGCGTCACACTTGATTGTTAATTATTGTAATTAGAATTATTGTACTTCACGCGACGAAGAATGGGATTCTGCGATGCATCCACGTTCATTTCTATTTTGCATTATTACAGGCCGGTTTGCAAGTGGGTGACATGATCCTTGCTGTCAATATGGATTGTCTGTTGGGCTCGACTTACGACGAGGTAAGGATCGTTGGAAATCATCGCTTTTCCCTTCTCCTTTTTTTTTTTGTTAATAAGGAAAAAAGAAGATTGTTCGAAGAGATTCGATTAACGATCGATGTTTGAAAAATTGTCCAAAATTTTTCAGCAATGAGATAATCTTAAGAAACTTTGCAATAAATAAGAGTTTTAACTTTGTTTCGAGGAAATTGCAATTTATAATTCAACAGAAGTTAATCAAGGGAAAGCATTTAAAAGTTATTTCGATGAAATAAAATTTGTCGTTGAAACAACAAATTTCGAATAACAATAATAATAATTCGTGTTGAAATCAAATCGTGTTTTTGACAAAGTTTTAATGAAAACAAATTGAATAGAAATTTATAATATACACGGAAAATGGAATAATTTTTTAAAGAAGGAAGAAAGAAATAGTAAAACTTAATATCTCGAATTTTTGTTCGTTGCTTCTTTCGCAGGCCACGAGTCTTTTGAAGAAGGCAGAGGGTGTGGTGACGCTCACAGTGTGCAATCCTAATCAAAGCAAAGTCGCCAAAGAGGAGGAGGACAGGGCGAAAGGAATTCTACCGGCTGAATCTGAACGTAATTATTCCGAATATTGATACAAATTAATTCTACTTTCCATATAACTCGATTCCATTTGTTTTAATATAAAAATTGTGATTGTACGCGAAGAGAAAAAGGAGCCAGAAAAGCCACCGGAACCGGAACCACCGCAGGATCCGAAAGATTGTAAGATAGCGACTGGAAGGGATACAACGATAGAGTTCCAGAAGGACAAGGACAAAGGCATCGGGTTCATCATAGCTGGTGGATCTGACACGCCATTGGTAAGTTTAATTAAATTGTGATAAAAAAGGAAATCGACAAAACAGTTAGTGAATATGTGCGACAATATTTTTATAAATTATGTATTAGTGAGACTCTTCGTTCTTAATTCGAAACAAAAATCTTTCCAATAAAAGATTAATTTAAGAATAATTAGAAATGGATTTAATATTGTGGCGAATTTAATTCAATAGAATTGTGAATAAATAACGAGATGCACCGTTAAAATAGTGTCACTGCTCTTAATTGGAGACAACAATCTTTCCAATAAAATATTAGTTTAAGAATAATTAAGAAATGGACGTGACAAGCTATTGGTGAATTTAATTGAACAAGAAAAAAAAGTGAAAATCTTTATCTAATAAAGGATTAGTTTAAGAATAATTAGGAAATGAATCTGACAAGCTATTGGTAAATTAAATTCAACAGAATTGCGATAAATAAATACGTTCCTAACGGATATGATGATTCTTAGCTCCCTTGGACATAAATTTTTAATAAAAGAATTAGTCGTTTGAAAACGAAAGTTGAATGTTCCTAAGAAAAATATCATTTCAGAAAGGGGTGTTCATCGTCGAAGTATTTCCGGACGGTGCAGCCCACAAGGACGGACGATTGCAAGCTGGAGACCAGATACTGGAAATATGCAGTCAGAGCTTCAAAGAGATAGAGCATGACGAGGCTCATGCCGCTGTGTTGAAAGTTTCAGGAACCGTACGTTTTCACGTGATCTTAATACCTCCTTTCTATTTTCAATCGTTCATAAAATTTCCAAAACATTCTCGTATATAATTCTTTTTCATCTAATCTACACTCGTCGTATTTCTTCACTCGTTCGCAGATCACGATGGTGGTGCACCGACAAGAGAAAGGGGAAGAGGAAATCGAGGTCGAGTTGCAGAAGAAGTCGGGCAAAGGGGCTGGTCTTTGTTTGACGGGGTACAAAAGTGGAAAGGGGGCATACGTATCGGACCTGGTACGTCTCGTCAAACTTTTCTCCCCTCTTTCTCCCCTCTTATAATTATATATCGTTCGCTCAGTTGCCTGGCGGTAGCGCGTTGGAAAGTGGAAAAATCTGCAAAGGCGATCGAGTGGTGGCAGTCGGTGGCCAGGATGTTCGCGAAGCTCCGGTAGAGGACATAGCTGTCCACGTGAAAGTTTCCAACCCGGTGCAATTGAAGCTGGCCAGGTTCAAATCCGCTAAGAAATGACAGGTATTCCAATTCTACTTTTCGTCCTTTCGACGACATTATCATTTATTACTCTTATACGTTATTCTAAAAGGAATTTAACTGTCCAGGGTTCTGCAGGCGGAACTCGAAAGGCGAGAATTCGGGCGGCAATCCCCATCAGACACCACGGACTCTAGTGTGATATAATTGACTATATCAAAGTAATTATAAATACTGTTTATTACATGTAAGTAATCCTAGAAGAGAGAGAGAGAGAGAGAGAGAGTAGAAAGAAGAGCGAATGAGAGAGAGAGAGAGAGAGAGAGAGAGACGAACGAAGGACGACGAATAACTAAAA